TAATTGGGATGGGAGTGTCAGAGACAGTGCGATTGGCACAGGACAGAGAGGAGTTTAGGGCTGTTGTACATAGGGTCGCTGTGAGTCGCAAGTGACTCGACGGCACATAACAACAACAACAATGATGAATTCAAAAACTATGAGAAATATGTTTCCGTGAAGGGAAGGGGGACATCTCTAAATTAATTTAGCTTGTGAAGAAATGGAATTGGAATCCTGATTCCAGACCCTTATTAATTGTGTCACCAAAATAAATCACAGAATGTTTCTTTAAGGCTTTAAAGAAGAAAAATTGATCTGCTAAAAGTAAATGAATGAATGAATGTATGTCAGCAGCAGGAGCGTTTCTCTTCATACTCAAGTGTGGGGTCACATAACTGGAAGCTCCCTTTTGTTTGGTCAGGTAGCCTGCTGCCTGATGGCTTCGGAGTATACTGAAACAGTTGGTGTGTAGAATTGGCAGGCTCTTGATGGTCACTCAGAGCTCTGCATTGCTCGTTGCAGGAACAGCCTCAGTTGCGGTTGCAGGGCTTCTTGCCGCTCTTCGGATAACCAAGAACAAACTGTCTGATCAGACAATACTGTTCCAAGGAGCTGGAGAGGTAACTGCCGCACATTAACACTCACATTCTCCAAGACTAACAAATGTGTGATGGCCTTTAATTGTTCCTTAATTTGAAGGGTTAAAGTACTTTTTTCAAATTTTATTACAAAAAGACTATAGGATTTGTTGAAAGATTCTAGATCTGTATTATGTCAAGGATTTTTTTTTTTTCTTAAGAGACTTTAGAGTTTTATTTTTCAAGTTTTTAATGTTTAGGATCAGCAGATGCTGGTGTAAGCTTTTGCTAGTCATACTTAAGATGCTCTACAGGGGGAAGGGAGCCCTGGTGGTGTAGTCTGTAATTTGTCCTGTTAATCCAAAATGAGGCCCTCTGGTGGTTTATCCCCACCAACCACTCCACGAGAGGAAGATGGCTATCTCCTAGCAGCTTATGGCCTCCCAGAAACCAGCTGGAACACTGGCTAGGGGTGGGTTCTGACCCCACTGTAATAAATTTTGAGGACATGGGGAGAAAATTCCGATACATAGTTACATCTGAAGGCTTTTAAGTATTTAAATGAATGATACCTTTAGTGTCATATACAGGTTTCTTATTTAACTCACAATTCACTGTATACAGGTATACCTACATACATATTTTAAATAAAAATATTTTTAATTATAGACTCAATCTATTATAACAGGTCACATGCAAAAAAGCAAAATCATAAATTATTAAGAAGAGACAGAATTAAGATTAAATTAGGCAGTGTCTTGTTTTCATTTCATATAGTTTTAAAAGAAGAAAACAATTATAGTAATAATAACTTGCCCCAAAATAGAAAGTGGAATATCAACTGAGTTTCCACTTCTGGAAAAACTACTGAAATCTGTTTCTAATTATGGAATAGGAATAAATGTAAAAATATTTTGTAGTCATATACATTTTCAGAAAGCTTTAAAATTTCAAAGTTAACATGGTTAGGAATTGAAAAATGCCTTAGAGTGGGTATAAATTTATGTATACCATATGATGGTTTTGATTTTTCGTGTTTCTAAAACAAAAAAAAAACACAGCACTAGAACTTAAATGCCATAATATAAAAATGTAAATCACAAATACATTGCATTTTAACATTGAATAATGGAAAAATCAAGGATAAATAACAACTCATTAAGATTTTTTGTTTTTAAAAGTAATTATGTGGATTATTGGATACTGTACTTAATTTTAGTAAACCTCTTCTTTGAATTTCTAAGTATCCAATGAATACCATAGGCCAATTCTTACCACTCAGTAGGACAGAGGTATTTGTGGTTAGATGATTCATAATTGGCACTTGTGTGTCCCTGAAAATGTTTTAGATGCTGTGATAATCACAGATTATCACAAATTTATTAAAAACAAAAGAAGTTGATTCTTTTCATCTTTAAGGGAATTGTACAGTACTCTCTTTGTCTAAAGTAACAAAGAGAGTGAATAATTACTTGAGAAAAGAGATTTTTATGCCAGATATAGTCTGTTTTCTAATTAGTCAAGCTCTTATCCAGATGACCAGACCTCATTCTTCAAATTAGAGGAGCTTGAACCTAATAATAAACATAACAATTCTGTGGTCAGGATTGTCCAGCTCATTACCTTAAATTCAGTATTTTCTTGTTGGAACAAAACTTGATTGTATTAAAAGAATTAAACATACTGACAATCAAGAATATCAGTAGTTTATCCATTGCTAAATTCACAAGTCATGTGTGAATATTTCTTTTGTAATACGGAGAGTAAACCATTATAATCTGGCACAATAGAACTTTGGGGTGGGGGGACCAAAAAAGAACTTTAACTTAATGTACAGGGTCATTTTGTCCTTTCTAAAAATGGAATTAAATATAACCCTTTGTAAAAATATCATATGAAACAACAATTTTTCCCATAACTTCTCTCTTAGGCTGCCTTAGGGATTGCACACCTGATTGTTATGGCCATGGAGAAAGAAGGATTACCAAAGGAGAAAGCCATCAAAAAGATATGGCTGGTTGACTCAAAGGGATTGATAGTCAAGGTAAGAATCTGGTATTTTATAACTGCAAGAAAAATCAGTATGACGTGCTGCATGACGATCTCAAAGATCACTTCTGATTTTACTCTTCTCTCTTTTTTGTATGTGTTTGTATGTGTGTGCATGTGCACAACATATCCTGTTTACTTAAAATTTGGTCAGACAGCACATGGATAATAAAACTGTCACTTTTCCTTTACTTTTGAGCTTAAAATCTTACTTACCATTAAGGTTTGGATGAGTTTGACTTTAATCCAAAAATGTGTCTTTGTCATATGTGAAGATGAATTTTAAGGAATAGCCTTAAGAAGTGTCTTCTGCAGGAGTCCAGAACGAAGGCTGAATAAGTGGAGTGTACCTGGGGGGAGGGATTGTAAAACAATGAAAGAATTTTTCTTTTACTTTTCAAAGAGAAGAGTGTACTGTGGGGGGAGGAGTGGGCAGGGAGAAAAGTGCAACAATGAATGAATGGAAATCCAAAGTCTCTGTAAATTTTCATTAAAATGAATAAAAAATGTAATTTAAAAAGTGTCTTCTGAAATTTAAATTGATATAGAAATGAGTGGGTATATATATATATATATATATACAGATGTCCTGGAAGGCTGTTTGTATGTGTGTATAGTTGCATTTCAGAGCCTTGAAATTATGGTTCTGCATTGAAATAAAAATAATAACGTTTATTATTCTGACCAGGAGTTTCTATTCTAAAACTGTTGTTGTGTATCGTCAAGTCAAGACTGGCTCATACCTAACCCTCCAGCAGGTTTTTCAGAGACAGTAAAATCCTAAGAGAATTGATTGCCCATCTTTCTCATTCAGAAAAGCTGGTGGATTTGACCCACATTCCTTTAGAATGACAGCATTCAAACCAGCCTGTCTGAATTGAGGGACTGTAATCTGCTTCTAACCTGAATTATAGCTGTTAACTTCTCCAGGAATTCCCTTAACTGTGAGTAAGGTTCTGTAAAGGCTGTCAATTGCAATAAAATTATTGCAGTGGACTTCAGATGCAGTAGAGTAGTAATAAGATTGTAGTTAGCATTAGTAGAAGTAGGTGAAGTGTGGAAGAACATGTCTGACCTAGAGGAATTAGTTTTGCACTGTGCATGTTGTTGATGGAGACAGTTCCCCTTTGTGCAGTTAGTAGAAGTGTTAGATTTGGCCATCCCTATGCTGCCTACATGGTTTTTATAGCATGCATTTTTAATCCAGTAGCTGCTCTGTGGGAGAAAGATCAGCAGTCTGCTTCTGTGTGATTTACAGGCTCTGGAAAGTTAACTAAAAGTCATTTCTCACTGAATGGCACGAAATAGCAATAACAATTATTTAAAGCATAATATGTTATCAGACATTATTTATGAGTATGGTATGTTATTGATGTGTGCCATTAAGTCAGTTTTGACCCAGAGTGGCTCTGGATTCTGTAGTACAACTGCCCACAGGTTTTGTGGGGGGTTTTTGGTTGTTGGTTTGGGTTGTTTGGGTTTTTTTTTTTAGTTTTTTTTAATTATCAATTTCAATGAAAATTTACAAAGACTTTGGATTTCCATTCATTCATTGTTGCCCCTTTCTCCCCTCCCAGCCCCCCCACAGGACACTCCCCTCTTGGAAAAAGAAAAGAAAAATTCTTTCATTGTCTTACAATCCCTCCCCCAGGTCCACTCTGCTATGCAGCCTTCGTTCTGGACTCCTGTCATGACATAAATACCTAATCACATATCCCTTTTAAACAGTTTTCTCCCTCATCTGTTTCAATGCAGTATACATTATTGAACCCATCTTTCTCA